GTGCTGTTAAAGAGGGGGACAGGATGTTCTGTAGTGGAAATCAATAAATGTCCAGCTTAGGGGTTGCTGCGTAGTGTTACAAGAGGAAGACCTCAAATGTCATTGAGCCAAACAATGTGCAGACAGTAGGCTGAGTGTTTTACATTCATGGCCTTATTAATTCTCACAACAGTCTTTCGAGGAGGGCATTATCATCCCCATCATCCAGACACGGAGATGGAACCTCAGACACATTAAGTAACTTGCCCAAGTCTTCACGGAAAATGATGGAGCTGTTTTTTAAGTTCAAGTCTGTGGGGTTCCAGAGTCCTTACTTTGACCCATATTACCAGGCTTCCAAGACTGGGCTTCAAGGAAATGGAACCACATTCTGCTTTGATGAAATCAACTAAATCTAAAAAGAGTTCATTAAAGGAAAGAGACAAAAGCTAAAGTAAGGGGGTGGCCTGATCTGTTCCCAGCGGGGAAGTTACCAGAGTGATATCTGACCAGCTCAGCCCAGAAAGAAGGGGGTAGTCACAGGCAGAAAGAACAGTACACACACAAAGAAATCTCCAGAAATGGGAGCTTCCCAGGGACTCAGCGCGCGTACACTGAAAGTTGTCCACTTCTGCCACCTAGCCACGGAAGGCCTCTTCAGCTCCAGTTCAAGAGCCCAACTCTGGGGAAGCCCATGGGTGGGTATACAATGGGCACAAGCAATAATGAAGGTTTTCCTGGTAGATCTCTGAGATGACTGATGTCACTGGGTCTCCTCTGACACACGTTCTCCTCATGTTTTTCTGGTATTTCTAGCGGCAGGATAGCTGATTCCTCCCCGGATCAGGTGTTAGACTCTTCTCCATCCTCATCTCTACTCTCTGCTCCGCTAAGAAATGTTTCTAAAATCCCATTTTCACCCACTTCAGCATTTCCTAAATATTAGTAATTTTCTTATTGCATTTTTCCTCGTTTATTTGGAAAACAAATCTACTCTCACCTGAAGTTTGCTAGCTAATATAAAGCATATTTCTGTCCTCGGGCTAATGTCTTTATGACATTATGATACTAACCAGCTAGTATTGACGTGAGCTTTCTGTTGGCCAGGACCTGTAATATGTCCCCCAACAAGAAACTAGCATAGGCTAGAATTAAGACAGCATGAGAAAGATTACCTGAAGGTAAGAAAATAAATGAGAGAACATCATGATTCTAAGCACATAATAAGTAGTCAAATATATGCTGAGCAGATGAATAAACATACCTTTAAAAAGGATGAGTAAGGATGGCAGTTTTCATAAAAGAGATTTCTCAGGCTTTTGTATTTCAAAGACCAATAATTTTTTTTGTTTTGTTTTTAATTTGGGAAGGGGAAATCAATATAGGATTAATTATCTTTTTATTTTTCCAAGTAAAGACATTTTAATAAAACTATCATCTCTATTACTATCCTTTCATAAGATAATAGACCACTTGACACCAACAAAGAAGGGAAAGTATGATCACAGAATAAGAGACAGTCTTTCCAAAGAAAGAATCATGGGCACATTGGATAGGGGTCTTAGTTGTATATTACAGAATGCCTCTCTAGCTAGTTTAAGCACAGAACAACACATTACCAAGTCTACATAGTCCACAGAATCATTGGAAGGGCTGAAGGAACAGACTCTGAGGAGAACTTCTCCAAACCACAGCACAGAAAAAGGCCACCAAAGAAGCTGCCAAGTCGGGAAGATGCTGCCATAGCCGCTGGCTACTGGACCAGTCAAAAGCCTCAAAATAACCACCAGCCTCATGCCCTGTTTAGCTCTCCACACTATTTAATACCAAAGCAAGGTCCTACATGAGTTCAGCTTATTGGCAGAACCAATCTAGATCTCCATCTGCCCAGGAATCTGGAAAATGTAGGTTGACTTTTTAGCTTCTGCAGTACAAGAAGTCACATGAGGCTGGAGAAGGCATTGAGTAAATCAGTTAATTACTGTTGGTGAGCTTTTTCTACATTTTCATGAAACATGTTGAGGTCTGATCCTGGACTGTGGAATCAGAGGGATGTTTTGAGGGATGTGTACAGTCATACTTTATTGAGAAGATTCTGAAGATCAGGGAATAACACCAATACCTGCTGTAGGCATGATTCTTCTTGTGAAGAGTTTGCTCTCTGAGGCCACAGCATTAACTACATCCTGGCCGTAGTGGAAATCTGTCCTATTTGTGGTTGTCCATCAACTTTTGAGTAGATTTTCGCATATTTGGGAATATTTTCATGTAATGAGTCCCACTTCCCCAATATTAAAGTCAGAATTCAAATTTCCAGACTCCTTTGCAGCTAGGATTCAGCATGTAATCTGGGCTCTGACAAGCTGATGCCCACACTTGAGGTGGTTCCAGAAAAAGATAGCATGAAGAAGCAGGCAGTGCCTTATACAGAGCTTCCATTTTTGCTGATGTGGATGGCAGCAGAGGCCTCAGCTTTCAGATGGGTGGTAAGGTCTGGTTCCCAACTTGGAAATGGCAGCAATGGGGCAGGAGCGGCCGCAGTAAAGCTGAGTTCCTGAGATCTAGTTCTCAGCAGCAGCAACCATAAATATACCAGTACCCCCCTGCCCACAACTCTGGGCTGGTTCTACAGCACACTTTAATTAGGTCACATTACTGGAAACTTTACCTCAGTTTTAATTCTCAGCCCTCTAAATGTTTATCCTTCAGGATAAAATCCCCTGTCTGCACATTACTGGAAACTTTACCTCAGTTTTAATTCTCATCCCTCTAAATTATCCTTCAGGATAAAATCCCCTGTCTGTCTCAACCGGCCAGAGTGAATTCTATTGTCGGGAACCAAAACCCACCTAATGTGCTGGGTGAGCCAAGAACATCTGACTCTGAATCCATGGCCTCTCCACTACCCTGCAGTATGAACCATTCCTGCAGCAGAGTGAATCTGACTGGACCTCATCCATTTCCTTTTTGAGAGAGGTGTAGAAAAGGATAGAAAAGAAATGCCCTTCTCTCTGGTTGCCACCATTCCAGGAGCTCCTACAAAACAAGAATGCTTTTCTTCACCGAATTTTTATCACCAACACTTTGTGCAGGATGGATATTCAGCAAATATTTGGTGAACGAATGACCGAGTACACTATAAAGTTATGCCCAGGTGGATCCATAATCCATACCTACACTGTTCATTACAGTACCTACTAGCCACATATAGCTACTGAGCACTTGAAATGTGGCTAGTACAACTGAGGAACTGCATTTTTATTTAATTTTATTGCAATTGATTTAAATTTTAAAATTTAGTCTGATCTCAGAGGCTAAGCAGGGTCGAGCCTGGTTAGTTCTTGGATGGGAGACCACCTAGAAATACCAGGTGCTATAGGCAATTTAAAAAAATTTTTTCTCTAATTTATACCTAATTTCATATTTGAAAAACTTTTAGTTTGTGTATGTAAATGTACTTTTCTTCTGTAAATTTTATGAAAGCTAAATACAGATCAAATATTTCCAATGAAAATTTAGCACATTTTTGACACAAAACAAGATGTGCTATAATTGTAAAATACACACCAAATTTCAATACTTTGTGAGAAAAAGAATATAAAATATGTCATTAATAATTTTTATATTGGTCACATGTGGAATCATAATATTCTGGATATTAGGTTAAACAATATATGTTAAAACTGACTTCACTAGGTTTTTTTTTATACTTTTAGATGTTACTACTAGAAAATATAAAATTAAATATGCAGCTTTCATTGTTTTTCTGTTGGCAAGCATGGATCTGGACACTGGCATGAATGTCTCTCAGCCGGCAAACGGGGTACCGAGGACACATGTGACCTCTGAGCACTGGAGCCTCTAAACATACAGACCAAGGCTGAATATCTCCTGCGTATTCCCCTCTAAGCTCTAAACCCAACAGGAAGTTTAGTCATGGGCCTCTACAACATGTGTTAAGAGCAGAAGTCACAAATTTGGAGTTTTTAGGGACCAGGCAGATAACCTACCATGGAAAAACTCTAGAGGTAAGGCCAGAGCAGTGACCAAATTTTCTATTTAAAGGCCATATGCAAAGAATAAATTCCCAAATGACTGTCCCCTGGGTCACCAGTGTGCCATCTCTGCCTAGGCCCATGGAATCAAAAGGCCCTTGGAGTGCCTGGAACGTGGTTGTTTCATTCCAAGGGTAAAGACACTGAAGCCAGAGATGAGAGCTGTGTTAATTAGCGCTAGAGTCAGGCTGAGCACTAAGTCTCCTAACGCCCACAGAACACACCATCTCTCAGCTTTAGGTGCCCACAAATACATGCCAAATGGGCTTGATTTAAGAAACGCAGGATGCACTCTACAAGGATCAGGCAGCCTGCCACCTACCCCAAGATTTCCAAGCCTCCCCTTCCTAGCACTACAAGCCCATTCTGAGGAATTACGGCAGGGATCCAGAAGGCATTCATCCCATCACAGAAACCCTTGTGGTTTCTATCCACAATTCCAGAAGATGTGAAACTTAAATTGTTCCAGGGTAGGGAGGAACACAAAATAAAGATGCCTTTGGCTGGCATGGAAAGCAAGGAAGAGCTGATGAGAGAAAGAAGGAAAACCATGCTGGGACTCCAGGGGAGAAAGATGCTCCTGGCAGACCAATCCTGAGCCAAGTGCAGGGAAAGGAGGCCAAGGCACCAATCTGGAGTGTCTGCCAGTGCCGGGTGGGGTGGGAGCAGTAACTGGAAGGGTGGGAGAGGATGGATGGAGCTGAGGAAAGAGGGAGGGTTGAAAGGCCCAACTTGCTCCTAGTAGAAAGAGAAGCGAACCTCCCTGATTCACCATGCTGGACCCAGACTGGAAGCATGAAAGTTGCTTCCAAAATGCCTCTTCCAACCTATCCCCATCAGTACAATGTTACCAAATAAAACCATTCATACCGACAACCAAATTTATCAATCAGCATAATACAGTTAGTAACAAAGAAAAGCAATTTTCACATTTTATTATACAACAATGTTCATCATAGGAAAAGGCTTAATGTTTTTAATTAAATACAGAAGCAAATTATTTAGTGTTTTCAGAGAGATTGTTCACCTGCCCTTGAAAAAACTAACACCTGTTTGCAAACAAAAGAATTGCTAGAGTTGAATCAAACCATTTGCTCTCTTTTCAGGACCCAGCTATTAATCTCTTCTCTACACAGTATCTAACACATAGTAGGAGCTAAACAAATATTTCTTGACTGATTGGGGTGTTCTTTAATCCCTATCCTATATTTCCTGACCCTAAACTGGATCTTGATTTATAGGGTAAAATCCCCACCCATCCATTCCTAGGGTAGCTCAGTGTCTTTCAATAGCCTTTGATACATAACATTGGTTTAGAGACACCTGCCTGAGGGGAATGACTGAGGGTTTCAGAGAAAGAAACACACAAATGCAGGCACAGTATGAGGTAGAGACAAAACCATGCTAAAATGTAGAGTAACAAAGAGACAGATTCAGGGATGGAAGATTGCAGGAGATAGTGACAGCCAAATGAAGTCAGAGGGACTTAAAACTCACAGTTTAAGATAAAGAGATAAAAAAAGGTTGGGCAAAAATGGTTTCTTTTCAGCTCTGATGTTTTATAGCAGACTTTATGGCAGAGAAAGGAAGACAAAGGCAAGGAGAATAAAGAGACAAAGGAAGGCAAAGGAGACAGGTAGACAGCCAGGTACGACTGCCCATCTTTAGATCTGGCCTTGAACCCTTGTGCTATCCTCGCCTCACACCCCGCAAACCGGGCTCCTTATTGCCTCAGCGCTCCATACTCACTCTTGGCTCCTACCACGGCTCCAACCAACCATCTCCCTCTACCCTCATCTAAAGATCTCTGAACCAGTCTTTGCGTGTCCAAATCCTCCCTCCAACATCCTCCATGAAGCTTTCTCACAGCTCCAGCCCATACTCAGCTCCCTCTCTCCTCAATTCCTAAAGCAGTACAGTTCATACCACACCCACATCCCCTAACCACAGGATATGTGTTGTTTTAGAGTTGGTCCTCAGCTCATCTGAGCATATCTTGACTCCCACAGGAGAACTGTGGGTTTGTCAAGCCTCCAAATTCTCTCATATGTTCCAGGATTCCCCATGATACCCAGTCCAATACTAGTTATCACTAAGTGCTCAGTGAATACCTGTGTACTGACCAGTCCCTAAGGAGCGCCAACAGGGCAACCTCACAGTCCATTGGTAAATAGCGTTCTGCAGTTTGGCCACGCTGGTCCATCTCCTGGGCTCCTGCGCCCCCTGCTGTCCAGGAGGGGATCTGCAGGAGGACAAAGCAGGTCGCAAAGGTGGTCCTGACCCAAGGAGGCTGACAGTGGCACTCCAGCCTCGCGGTGGCCCCAGGCACCTTCCAAGGGTTCTGATAAAGTTGGTGGGCGCAGCAAGAAACAGCTTCTATGTTCTTCCTAGGTGTCTGGGCACACCCCACGGCCTCCCAGTGCCCAGAGTGCTGCCGACCGCACCCCATCTTGCCCTACCCGAACGGGGCGCTCAGAGCTTCTCGTCCAGCTCCAGCTCCAGCTCCAGGCCCCGGTTCTCCCAGGAGCCCCCACGTACTACCGGGCCTGGGCTGCCGCCGTGCGACCCGCTCAGGTAGTTCTGGATGACGGAGGCGCAGTCCAACCGCTCCATGAGGGTCATGAGGTAGTGCAGCTCCTGCAGACTGCCATTCTGCTCTTCAAACAGCTCCAGAATGGCTGCAGCAGGGCTGCGCTGGCACGACAGGAATCTGGCCAGGAGCGGGTGGGAGAAGAGGAGAGGAGAGAGGGACACTGCAGTGAGATCCGCCCCACGACCCCGGGGCCCCAAGCTCTGGTCTGTATTCTGCTGCTGCCTGCCTTCCAGGGGACTCATACCTATGAGGGCCCAGGATTTTGAAATCCGAGATTTCGCTGGCTCAAAGACAATTCCTCTCTAAGCCTCAGTTTCCTCTTCTTCCACCCAAGGCTTGGATGAGAGGACCTCTAAGGTTGCTGCCAGCCCTGATGTTCTGTAATTGCCCTCTTTACCTTCCCTACCCTAAACACACTCTCTCCACCTCCTCCTTGTCTCCAGGACACAACGTTCTACCCACTACTGGGCAAATAGTTGTTCTAAACCATGGCTTTTAGCAAGACCCTCTCCTGCTCGAAAACTTTCCAGTCTCTTTTGCCTACTAACCAAGCCCACACCCCTGACTTTCTGGCTCATCTACTACTTGGCCTCGCTCTGTTTTTTCTAACCTTTTCTACCAGCTCTCATCTTGAACCTTACTTTTCAAGGCCTATCCCTTTCCGGCTTTGTATATGCCCCGCCCACAACCACCTCGGTTACTCCTCCCATACAGAAAGGCTGGTCCGCCTTCCCCACCTCCCTGTAGCCCTTTCTAATTTCCATCTCCCAGGGGAAGGAGACCATTCTGCACGCCTCAGTTCCGACTTCTGATCATAACTTCCACATGTCTTCGTTATTCTTGCTTTTCTGTCTCTGTTTGTTTTCAACTTACTCTGCAATAGTGGATACATACAGTATGGCTCAAGGAACATCCGCCTTTATTCTGTTAAGCATTCTGTATCCTTTACTAGAGTGTGAGCTCCTAGGAGCTAGGACCATTCATCCTGTGTCCCTAAGCTTAGCATAGTTTTCCAAGACATAGTAGGTATTGATAAATGTTTAATAAATGGGTGATTTTAAAATCCACCCTGCTTCCAGCTGGGTGCAGCTCTAGTCCCATCTTCTGGGTGAAGTCTTCCCTGACCACTGTACTTATAGACACGGTTCTGCGGCTAAGCTCAGACTTATTCTTCTACTGATTTCTCTCGACAGAGACCATGGTTACATCGTCCCCATTATGGCTAACATTTATTGAATTAACATCTGCCAGTTGCTCAGAGACGTGCTTTATACGCATTATCTTATAGTCTGTCATTCTACCCCTCAGGGCACAGCTTGTCAAGCATTCAATATATACCAAATGACTTACATGTTAACTGATACATTTTTAAGTATTTATTGAATACCTACTAAGAACCAGGCATCATTCTCGGTACTGAGAATACAGTGATAAATAGAAAGAGCTGCCCTTTTATGAGGAATAAGGTGGGAAAAGCCATTCTCTGCCTTTTAAGTTGCTTCCTTATCTAGGGTCCTGAGATCCCCCCTCCTCTCCCATTCGCAGACATCGCCCCTCTTACCGGATCTTCATGCCACAGAGCCCCAGGTGGGAGGCCAGTCGACGCCAGTCATTGCCAGTGATGCTGCTTGGCTCCAGCAACATTTGCAGCTGCTCAAAGAGCTCAGGGGGCAGCCTGAGGCCAGGGGGAAGGGTGTTCTCAGAGGGGAGGATCAAAGACACCCAGTCTGGATCCACACACACCCCTCCCCCCAAATGCTATACTTGCCCAGTAGGCACTGGGCAGGAATCCCGAACACCCCCCAGGAGGCAGCCCAAGCAACTGTCACCTCACCTATTGCATGGGGGCGGCTGGGAGACAGGGGGCGGCGCTGCCCAAGCTTCTTCCTCTGATGCCTGGAATCTGAGGATTTCCATGTACTTGGTCTCCAAGCCCTGGGCCAATAGAGGAGCCAGGAACACACTTAGGGATCATAAGCCATCCCCTGGGCGAGAAGCTGGGGAACCTATCTTCATTCTTCACGTCTTTCCTTAAGTCTGTTACCCAAAGCCACTTTACCAGGAGACTCAGCCTCACTCCACCCTGGACCCTCCACCCTCTGCTTTGCTGCTCCCCAAAACCTTCAGCCTTCAGTTTGCCTACTGAGATCTTTGGGACCTGGGACATGAAAATCAAACAGCGTGTATATTAAGACACCAGAAGTTTGGGGCTGGGGGAAGGTCATCCAAAAACAGAGACACTGAACTCAGGCATACATGTCCCCTTCCCTTCATTCCTCCTTTCTTTGGTTCCTCCTCCCCAAGTGACACCCATGAGGGGTGTCTGCCTACTCTCCACTAAGATGCCACATGGTTCCCTAAAGACTCTCAACCCTGATTCCTTCGTATCTTGCCTTGGGAGAGTGTGATATCTAACTCCCATCCCACCTTCTAAAGACCCCCTTCGTGGTCAATCTCCACATCGAAAATAGGCAACATCATCATTCGGATGTAGATAATCGGCCTAGAAAGAAATCACTTCTCTTTGATGCCCAAGTTCCTCTGGGTGGAGAGAAGGGGTTAATGTAAGGTTTGGTTCTTTTATCCTCCTACTGAATTCATCCATGGATAGACAAGAGAGAGTCAGGGATGAAAAGTAACTTGGAGGCCAAGTGCCATCTTCACCTGATTGATTATCTAATTAGAGCCATACTTACTGGGCTCCAGACCCCTCTCGCACTTTGCCCAGGAGTTCCCCCAGGCCCTTCCCTTCCTCTGCCCCTCAGCTCCAACTCACATCCTGGAAGGTGTGCATGGTGACAATGATCTCATTGGTTAGTGCTGAGCAGTCCTCGTTCTCATTGGCTACAAAAAGGAGAGGACAAGGCAGGTGAGAAAGGACAAGGCCTGGCATAAGAGAGCAGGAGAAGTGAAAAGGACTCTACAGTGAGGCTTTGGAAATCTGCAGAAGCTGGGCAGCATGCACCATCTTTCTCTCTGCAAAGATCTGTTGTGGTTCCTCGCCTTTGAAAAGTCTGTATGCACGGCTGAATGAGGAGCTACAGAGCTCCAAGGTGACGAGGTGGGGAGAGGAGAGGAGAGGGCAGGAGGTGGACTTGGGCTCTTGGACTACCTGCTTTTCTCCGGAAGCAGAAGGAGCGGAAGGGGCACTTTCCATGCCAGATGTGGAGATGGGGAACCAGCTGACAACTGCTGTCATCCACATTCTCCCAACCTGGAAAGAAGACAGATAGCGGAGGCCCTCAGAGAGCAGGGCTTCCGCAAGTGTTTAAGAAAGGCTGTTCTGTGGCAGGTACCATATAGGGTACTGTGGTGAGGGACAATGAGGGAGCAAAGTCTGGATGGTGTCTCAAGTGAATGAAAGTTCCCAAAGTAGTTTTCCTCCTACCACAATACACTCCTACATACACATATGCCCTCTCACCCTTGCACCCTCCCCTCCAATCTTCACCCTCCTATCCACCACCCCCAAGAGCAGCCATGAGTGTGTGCCCAGTCCACACCCACACAAGCACCCTGGGCCCCATGGAAAATTCCCACAGTCCATGCCATGAAGGAAAGAGGGTCCAAGCACAGAAGTGTGAGACTCCTCCTCCAACACCTGCTCCATCCAGATGGGACAATAAAAGCCTTCCCTTTCCTCCTGGAGGGTACCAAACCTCTCCTTCCTCCAATCCTGCATCACCCTGTCCTCCCATGGAGGGACCAGGGCTGAGTGAGCCACAGAGGAAGAAAGTGGGCGGAGCCTGGAGACTCCTGGAGGCAGTAGCAGAAGCCAGAGGATTGCCTTGACACTGTTGCCTGCCCAGGAGTCTCCAAAAGGAACTTGAGGCTCCCAGATTTTCACCCCAGAGGGAGGCCCAGACCCCTCCCTCTAGTGGTCCTCCCTACTGCCCTGTCCCTACCCCGCCCCCCGGCCCCGCCCGTCTCCCTCACCCTCAGAGATGTACTTGAGCTTCAAGCACTGGTCCCCTCGGGCCCCAGTGAAGTCGAAGAGCTGGCAGGGCCCACGCAGGCGCCCACCGTGGGGCTGCTCGTTGGTCAGAGCCCACTGCAGGGCGCAGGGCGTGTTGTTGAGGAAGTAGACTCGCAGCTGCAGGTGGGACTGCCCCGGCGCCAGCGGCGAGCAGAAAACCGCCAGCTGCAGCCATTTGCGAGCTTCGCGGCCCACCGGTGCCTCCAGCACACAGGTGTAGAGGCTGCAGAGTAGAAGGGAGATGGTGGCAGGGACAGGGTATGGGAGAAAATGGGACGCCGGCGCACCGGCCGCCCAGCTCCTGCTGTGCCAAGGGAATCTGTGGAGGCCCTCCAAGGAGCTGAGGAGAGCAGTCCAGGGCATGATAGGGAGGAACTGGGGTGCGGGGGGAGTGGGAGTGGGTAGAGGGACAAAAAGTGAGTCACATGCAGTGACCGTCACAGAGTGGGCAAAGAGCCAGCAAAAATCCTCTGGTGTGGTAGAGAGGAAAGGTGAGCTCAGGACCACTATGCTTTGGCACTGTTCTGGTTAATGGGTGGCAAGGAGAATAAGAGGAAGAAGGGTCTAAGATCCTAGAAAGACAGAACTAAGGACAGGCAAGAGTTGGGATGGCATGTTAGAGAACTGGAGGAAACAAACAGCCCTAGAGAGTTGGGGGATAGTCCTGAACCGGGGCACAGGACATAGACAATTTTAGAGAGACAAAGGTGGGGATGGGACAGGCCCCCTCTGGACAGAGGGCTGGGGTTGAGTCAGACCCTCTAGACAGGCAGAGAGACCAAGAGGGGGATGCGCAGTCTCGGTCAGGGTTGGAGTGGCACAAGCTGCCATAGACACCAGCATAGAAGGACCGAGAAGCGACACATGGGAATAAGGGATTTGCAGGCCATCTGGGCCAGATAAAGGGGCGGTTCCATACGAAGAGATGAGGATGAGGCAGACAGAGAAAAGGGGTGGGAAGGACAGGTTGCTGGGCTCCGGCCTACCTGAAGTGGGAGAGGTGGATGCGACACTCATCCAGGGAGGTGTGACCCCCTGACTGCCCCAGGGGCTTCCAGGCCTTGACATCGAGCAGGTTTGTGTTGCTGCTGTAGGCGCAGGCATGGCTGGATTGCTGGGCACAGTGCTTGAACGTGAGAGTGCAGGGTTTCAGGAAGGAGGCCCCGTGGGGGCCACATGCCACCACGGGGCTCACTAGCGCTTGGGCTTTGGACAATGATGGGGCGTCCGACAAGTCCCACACCAGAATCAGTGACACCCGCTCCTGGCGGCCCACTGCCACAGCACCTGGGAAGACAGAGAGCTGAGATGGGCCTGGCAGGCAGGCATACCCCTGTCCCAGGGGAGGCCAGGCCAGATAGGAGGGGAGGTGGAGCAGGAGCCCAAGAGAGAGGATGCACACATAGGAAGGCAGTACAGAAGAAGAGCAAGATGATTGTGAGCTGATTTGTGGTGTCGTCTTGTGCAAGTCACTCGCCTTCCTTCCAGAACTGCCGTGAATTTGCAAATCGTGCTCTTTCTCTACTTTATTTTCCTTTATTAGAGACTGTCACAACATAGTGTTCAAAGCACTTTACTTCCACCTACCAGGAAGTTGTCATAAAAATATGTAATATATCCATCTTTGGAGTTAATAAAGTCATGCTAAAAATATGAACAATTTTCAAAGTTACGAAGATGTCTGTGGATGATGCTCCCTTCAGTGTGGTGCCCTTGTACAACGCACAATCTGAACAACTACGTGCTGAGAAGGGAGCTGGGCGCTGTTACCTGGTGGAATGAGCAGAGAGATGCCCATATCCCGGAGTATCAAGCAGCCTCCACGGTGATCCACCTCTCGAGCCGAAAACACCAACAGCTTGTGCATCAGCTGACGGACAATGGTCTGGCCCTGGGTGGGCGTGTGCAGTTCCTGGTAGAAGGCAACCATCTCCGGTAGGGTAGCAGGCAGGCACTGCCTTGGGGACTCATTTTCTGGTAAGGGAGAAGGATCAGATACTGGCTCTTCTTGGCTATCCAGCTTCCAACGGCCCCGCGGCAGCCAGCGAGGACAGTGCCATCGAAGGCACTGGACCAGAAGGAGGACACTTGCCACCGGAACTCCCACCAACAGCAGGAACTGGGCCAATTGGAAGGAACTCTCATGGGAGCACATCAGCCTGGTCACTCGATGCTGCCAGCTCACCTGCAACCCTGTGCCAGCCAAGGCCAAGGGTGGGGAGGGGGAGGAGTCAGTGCCAGGCTAAGCTTTTTCAGTGTCATGGAGGCCAAGACTTGGCTTCCAAGCAGCTGCAATGAGGGAGCAAACTGTCCTTATTCCAGTGCCCCACTCCCACTCCAGTCAGATCAATTCCTTTAACAGAACTTAACCTAGCCCTCTTACGCAAGAACCTATAGTAGATCCTCATGATCTAAACATCAAATTAAACTCCCCTGAGGCAAAAAGAGCTTGGGTTTGGAGTTAGGGAATGTGAGTTCAAATGCCACGTTGGTCACTGGCCGAGCTGGTCACATTGCTTAATGTGAATAAGTTTCCTCATCTATCAGAATATCTACCTTGATCTCCATGTGCTTATACAGAAAAAAATCTTTAAGTGGAAAAGCAAATCACGGAGAGCTAGACATCCTCTGATCTCATTAATGTAAATAACAAAACTATATAGAAGTATAGATACACATTTACGGGTATATAAATGTAAATTATAGAGAAAGGTCTGGAGCAGTGCTGTGCAATAAAAATATAATACGAGCATATATGTAATTTTAAACTTTCCAGGGGCCACATTAAGAAAGTAAAAAAAAAAATAAAAAAGAAAACAGGAGAAATTTACTTTAATAATATATTTTATTTTACCCAATATATTTAAAATAGTATCATTTCAACAGTTAATCAATATAAAGTCATTAAGGATTTACATTCTTTTTTCACACTAAGTCTTTGAACTCCGTGTGTACTTTACACTTATAGCACATCGCAACTGGGACTCGCTCTATTTCAAGTCCCCGGTAGTCACATATGCTAGTGATTCCTGTCCTGCAGATCTGGGAGAATATACCCCAAGCTATTCCCATTGGTCATTACTGAAAGAGATGATAAATTGAGAAGGTAGAAGGTGTGAACCAGAGTTTTCAAGTTCCTTAAACTCTCTTTTTTCTGTAGGCTTTGAAATTTTCACACCAGGCCTGTGTTTTATATTAACTTTGCAATTCTTTTTAAAAGCTATTACAAGTGAAAAAGAAAATTTCCTCTCAGAGTGATTGCGAGGATGGCGTGAGATCATGTGAAAAGCATTTGTAGATAATAAAGCACTGTCCAAATATGCTTGTTTATTTATGCCCCTCCTTCTGCCAGAAAAGTTGAAAGAGAGCTTATAGGGATACATGAAATACAAGATTTCATGTATCCCTATAAGCTCTCTTTCAACTTTTCTAAGTTAAAAGTGAAAGCAAAAAGAGAAAAGAAAACAAAAGTTGGGGCCTCCAGTGACGCTGGAATGAGGCAGGGCAAAATCATACACTGACTGCCAGTGCACCTGGCTACCTGTGCACCTGGCTACCCGGCTACCCGGCAGGGGCCTCAGACTGGAACCTTGGCCTTCCAACAGCCTCCTGCACAAATGTCAGCTCTTCCTGAGGCCCTCCAGAACCTACCACCTCCCCTTCCTACTTTCCCTCTTCCTCCCTTAATTTCCAAAGCCTACACCCCCACCAGACTGGAGTCCTCACATCTTGTTAATTCTCGCTTTGGGCTTTTGCTCATGCTGTTCTCTTTCATTCCTCACCTGTGCTCCCCACCTGTCTCATCTCCCCCACCTGAATCCCTCTTGCTCAAGAGGCAGCCCCATCCCACCACACCTCCAGCTCACCAGCCCTTGGCAGTCTCATGCCTCCAAAATCTCTCTTCACTGCCATACCACCATACTGAGTGGCTTTTAATTACACTGTCATGTGTGTTTTACCCACTCAGATGAATGTTTTCTG